AAAATGTAAACTTTTCACTGCAGGCTTTGTAACCTTAGTTTATGATCATCCCTCGTAATTAATATAAAAAAATTAAAAATTAATTTTTAAATAATTTCGAATTTAAATTAATAATTGTAAAATGAGTAATTATTGAAGGATTTGGGGATCTTTATAGAGGACAAGAATTTACATCAAGGTTAGTAATAATTTTGAATTTTGACAGCCGAATTTGACTAGAGTGGCAATATCGTCTAAACGAAGACAATTATTCCCAGTGAGTGAAAAATGAGTCTAAAAATGGCTAAATTTAAATTAATTATAAAAAAAATTACTTATACAGTAGAGCGTCGTTTATCCGAAAGCATTCCAGTCGGCAAATTTAAATTTTCGCTAGTGCTGTGGCGCTGCAATCTTTGGCTATTTCTCGGGCTACTCAAATATTTTACGTTTTTGATACTAAATTAACTTCTGGAGTATAATTTTTTATTGCTTTTTTATATTTTTCAATAAATTTATTTTGTTTGTACAAAATAAAAAAATAATTTTTAACGATACAATAGTCTTCGTTAGGCTTAACATCGACGAAAATTCAACGCGAAGCGACACGCAACGGAGAGAAATTTCAACATGGGATAAATTAATATATTTTTTCGTACATGATTCGTTATCCGAAAAATAAGTTATCCGAACCACCCCAGTCCCCAATTGATTCGGATAAACGACGCTCTACTGTATATTGACCTATAAACTTATTATATTGCATTAGAAGACCTATAAAATTTTATTCTATTTTTGAAGATAAAAACAGGAAAAATCCAGGACTGTCCCGGACAAATTGAGACGTGTCATCACTTAATTGTCGAAAATACGGTTTCCGGATTGGGCATAAGCTTATACGACAAGAATACCAAAATTTTTAGTTGGTTCAAATGATGATAGTAGTTTCAAAATTAAAAAATTATAAATTCTGAATGATTGTTAGAACATCAACAATTCAACAATACAAGGCCAAAATAATGAAGGCTAAAAGAAAGTCAACAATGAACTTACCATTGAAAGGATTAATATTCCTTTTTCAATGGCCAAATCCAGATTTTGACACTTTACTGTATTAACTCTGTTTTAACTTACCAAATGCCATGTTCCTAAAATTATTGTTCCAGTGCGAACATGACAGCAAAAACAGCAACGAAACTTCTCTCGTGGAATAGTTTTATCAGATGAATTCATCTCTAAAATTGAAAGTTTAAAAATAATTTCAAATATTTATTTTAAAAAATCTTATTCATTAAAATTTTCAAATATATAAAAACAGATATAACAAAATATTTTAATTTAATTCTGTAAAAAAAAAAAAAATATAAGTTTATCTACATTGCTAAAGGTTATATGTTTAACAAAAAAGTAACTTTACAAGTAACTGCAATACTATTGAGTATAACACCAATACATGGTAGGTAGTAATGATTTGAGTCTGAATTTAGATATTACAAAAACCTATGTATGTACTATACAGTACATACATCACGGGTTAAATATACATCAATGGCCTAAATATGTAATGAAAATCCTAGAATATGTAGAAAAAAAGCACAATATATGATATGTTTTAAAAAAGAATGGAGTTTTTTCATTTGTAGTCAGCAATGATTTGTATATTTGAAGTATGGTTGTCACGTCCCATATTTTACTTATCATGTTGATATTCCACAGTATACATAATTGCATCCAAAAACTTCAAAAATTGTTTGTTTTGTTCCTTATTGTTAAGAAGGTTCTCATGAGAAAATTCTTGACTATAAATAAATCTTCCTACAAATAAATCTTCACATTTCTATTCGGTTAAGTTTTATATTTAAATATTTATATATGAAAGTTTTNCAGTGGTTCTCAACCTTTTTTGTTGATGTACCCCATTAGCCCATTAGTTGTTTCACAAGTACCCCTTATATTTTTGTATGTAAGTTTTATAATTACTGTGTTAGATGATTACAGTCCTCATAACTGAGCGTCATAAAAAAAACTCTAACTAACTAACTATAACTAAAAGTGAATTACTTATTTTACATAAATAATAATAAATTTAATCAGGTGCATACATTTATTTATTATTATTTGACAAGTATATTATATAAAATCACAGAAGTCATTTCAATACATGCATATATTACATTTCCTAAAAATAAATAATTATAATTAACGATAAAGAAAATTAAATTATTCTACAATAATTTCTAACAAAATTTAATGGGATATTTGTTGTGATAAATCTTCAGCAATTTTTTCAAAATTTGGTTCCCATGTTGTTAAATAGAGATTATAATTGTGTACTGACCTTGAAAGTAATAACTGCGAATTTATAATGTGCAGAACAATACATGAATCTTTCAATTTTTGTAACAAATGTAACGTATAAATTTGCTAAATATCAAGTAATGCACGCATGCAGTGACACTCATTACATGGTGCGGGTACGATCTAAGCCTCGTTATTCCTAATACCAGTAGTCCAGTAAAAACACGAAAAGTGCCGATGTTATCGAGCAATAATTATAGAATAGAAAAATTTTTTTTTTCTATTCTAAAATTAATGCTCGGTTACACCGTAATTTTACTAGACTACAGATTCACTCGGCACTAATGGCACAAATAGACAGGCAAATCAAGTGGATAAACAAGTTGTTTAGACTGTTAAAAGGGAAATTAGTGTTCACACTGGGATATTTTAAAGCAAGTTTTTGTTGTTTCTTGTGTTAATAATTTACAGCAAATTGATTAACATACGCCATTTTATAATGAAAGTTAGATGTACCCCTTCGATTTATGCTCGTACCCCTAGGGGTACATGTACCCCCAGTTGAGAACCACTGCTCTACTGTATTCAGCAAATGTGTCAAATTTTAATGTTTAAATTAATTAGTTTTTTAAAATCGTTTTATTATGTATTTTTTTAAAATAATCAGAATCGTCATTATTACTTTCCCGGCAGTTATACAGCATAGGCCTATAAGAAAGGAAAAGAATGACGATCAATCAAAAAATGACTTCTCAGATTTTTACTCTTTTGGACTCTGGAAGCATTGAAACGTGGCGAAGTGCAAAAACATTCGAGGTTTTTTCTCTACGCACGGATTAGAATGTGTACCAAACGATTTAGTTCAACCATTTTAAAGCTTAATAACTCCTGTTAAACCATCCGACTCCGATTCAAAATCGTGCCCCCATACAGTCTAACATTCGTACATACAGAAAAAAAAACCTGAATCTTTTGCATATCTCGACATTTCGAGGTGTCCTGAGTCCAAAATTGTAAAAATTTGGGCTGGGATAATTTTTTGACCGATCGCTACACTTTTCCTCTTTTATATATAACAGCCGGAAAAGTAAAAATTATCGAGTACATATTTATATATTGACTATGTCATTATTTAGAGAAGTCTTTTAGCTTTGGAATAAGAAAGTTTTTCGTTCTATCTTTATTAAAACTATATTTATTGAAGCTTATATTCTGAGGTAACGTGATGACGTCAGAATTTTCGGGCTTAGTTTGTTAACAAGTCCGCCCCTGGTCGGAGTAGGAGTCGTGTAAAAATCTACCGATTCCACAGCCCTGCCAATAACTAATAAAATTTTCATTAAGTTCGACTCCACTCGAGATTGGACACGTGATCTTCCCACCTTCTTGAGTTCCGTATTCCAAAATTAAATACCGGCAATGCCTCTTATATAAAGTTTATCACGCCAAATTTAGTTCTTCAATCTTTGCCCAATTCTGATATTATACGAAATCGTTTCCTGTTTTTTTTTTTCTTTTTTTACTTTTTGTTTTGTGTTAAAAGGTGTCAAAACATCGAGATTTGCAAAAACCCGGAGTATCAAATTTAACACGATTACAATACCTGTGTTATGTTATAACAGCCGGGAAAGAGTTTCACAGAAAACTGCACTGTTTATGTCACTGATTTGTACGTTAATCACGTAACTAATAAAATAATGTAACGTTCAAGGTCCCGTGCTTGTATTCCTTAGTATAATTAAGGGCTATGGGTTGATTGAAGCTATACACTGCGTAATTTTGAGGTCTTGTGTCTGCAGTACAAGCTGACCCTCGTAATTCTCTCACGTGATAAACCTAACAGTAATTATTAAAGACTAGATCTATCAATAATAATTTATCGGAATTGGCAGTAAAAAAACAAATACAAAATATATTTTAATTACCATACGTGCCACACCTTTGTTTACGGAAGTGAAGGTGTGGTACTTACAGTATTGAGATCAATTTAACAGCGTAAAAACGATATACAAAAATTTCCACTTCGGTACAGAATAACCTAATTTTTAGCAGAGGGATAAACAGAATGACGAAATCGTAATTTAATTTAAATAAATAAGAATGAAAAATGAATATTTTTAATGAAATTAATAATCGTGCCGACCTATAAAATTGAAAAAAAAACGATTACAACATTAAACGTAATTATAATAATAATTAAGTTGTGATAAAATTACACAATTAAATTTAATTGTGTAATTTTAAATTGTGTAAATGTAAAATTATGTTTTATTATTAAAACATAATTTTACATTTTCATTACTGTATTTTTTTCATTTATTTAAATAATTTATCATAATAAAATGTTAAAGATCATAATTATTATCAGATAAACTGCAAACAGTTAGCTATAAACAATCATATACTGTTTACTTAATACTTAATGGACATTTTACTTTTAAAATATTGTTTAACAATTTTTTATGTGGTAGAATTTTAATAAAATCTCGTCTAACAAGACTGAAGGAAGGAATACGTGCACCGATTATCGTAATTTTTTTTAATGATATAAACACTTAGAAACAGCACAGAATGCGATCAAATTACCGTTTAACCTAGTTTATATTATAGAAAAACCGAGATAAAGCAATGAACCTATCAAGAAACGATATAATATCGTACGAGTGTTAAACAATTAGATAAGGCCTATATGCGTAAATGTTATTTCGATCCAATAGAATATAAATGTTATTGAGTAAGAAGGAAAATAATTGCCAGTCATCTGGCGACAGATATAATTCCGTTGGAAATGTTGTTCTCCTTGATTTCCAGGAAGAGTATGCAATTAGTAACCAACTGAAATGATGTAACAGTCACGTGGCTGATATACAAGTTTAAGGTGACGATCTAACGTTACGTTTATCAAACGGATTATTGAAGAAAATGAATAAGATAGTGCACGACGTCAAAAGTTGGTTGGAGGAGAATCGAAAATGCTTCCACCCTCCCGTCTGTGTTAAAACTATGTAAGTCAATGGTATTCAAACATTTTTAACAGTGCGACCCCAAGGTAATTTTCCGCGACCCATACATTGAATACCACTGCCCTACCGATAGTATTCAAACATTTTAACAGTGCGATTCCAAGGTAATTTTCGCGACCCTATTTGGGGTCGCGACCCATAGATTGAATACCACTGATGTAAGTGATTTATATGTTTTCTATTATACTTGTTTATTTTTTAAACGTTACGTCATACATAACTTGTTATTGCTTATTGTTATCGTAATACGTTACTTTAACTTAATCTTACAGGAAGTTAAATCTGTTACTATATTTAACTTTTATTAAAATCGAATAAACAATAGCGTAAAATATAAATTTTCGTTTTATTTACTACTAGCAAATGAGCCCGACATTGCTCGGGCAAAAAATAACAACAAAGATTAAGATTATTAGATTATTTCGTACTTCTAACCCTTCTACTATATTATAAGTTTGGACACGTACACTGCGTATCTCGCCGACCACGCGACTGCGCCGCGCGGTTACCTATCTTGTATACATACGCGTCTTGCCCCTCATCACCCGGTGACATCAAAAATATAACGCTTACCTAGATGATATCTTTTAATTTATATGAATGTTTAACGGAATAATACACAGCCTATGTCCACCCTGACGGTTCATTCTAAATTTTGGTGAAAGAATTTTTGAAATCGGATGAGTAGTTTCAGAGATTATCTCCTACATTCAAACTTACAAACTTTACCTCTTTATAATATTAATATAGATTAATATGTAGATTATATTTCTAATTTTAAAAAATAAGTTTTGTTTTTAACAGTGGAGCAACCAATTGAGGCCTTCTATGCAACTGAGGATTGCAGTAGTTTCATTCTTGCAGAATTTTTTATTAAAAGAAATTTTGTTAATAGTTTATTAAAGCCCGAAACTGTTTAATTAAGTTTTAGATAACCTTATTTACAAATTATAAATTTTAAGTTGATAATATATTATGAATTAAACAGGTTTTCTGAAGGACAATTAATAGCATTCTTTGTTGGTGGTCCAAATGCTCGTGAGGATTATCATCTGGAAGAAGGAGACGAGGTAAAAAAAAACTACCGCTAACGTTATCGGTTGATTGTTTTCACAAATAAAATGAATAATTTGACTTCTTTTTTTAAAATAGTTTTTCTATCAAATAAAAGGTGATATGCAATTGAAAGTGATAGAAAATGGCAAGCCGAAGACTATACACATCAGAGAAGGCGAAGTAAAAAAATATGTATATATATATATCAGGGGTGTGCCGTCCTTGGAAGCGGTGGAAGCGCCGCTTTCCTTGTATTTTCTAAAATATAAATACATATCGTGCGATCATTTTCATATTTTAACGTACTTTGAATTAACTAAAATTAATATTTTATTATAATCGCATTATGTATCTTATTACAAATTTCTATACTACGTGTGAAAAAACGATAAGATTGCTATTGTATATTCGAATATCAGTGGCTTAATGGAAACGCTATATTGTCGAAACCGGGTCATCTTCCAAGCAGCCAGATTATAGGCATTAGCGCATGCGCTTTACAGAGTATCAACCTCACGGTGGAAGCTACACACACACACACAACGCTTCCAATGATTCTATCCAGGACTGGTCCTGGGCTGTTAGCCGCTTGCCTGCTAGATATTTGGCCGCCCTCGCCCCATTATGTGAATCGTGAGCAGATTTATAACTTAACCCAACCGATAGGAATTTACTGGTATGTTTTTAGTGATATAGTTCTGTATAGTTGACAGGAGTTTTAAAAAAATCCATTAAAATACTTGATATATTTATTCTGCTTTAATTTGCTCTCCCATCTTATATTACTTACGAATTTTAATGTTAAACCAGTGATATTACGATTTCGTATGTCCCATCCATAAGGGGATGCAGAAAAAAACGTGTACAATTCTTGTACAATGTTAAAAAATTAACTGTTACTTTGACAGCGTCATTTACAACTAAATTTAATGAATGAGAGAGATGCACGAGGTACAGAAAAATCTCTAAAATTTATTTTCCTTAAATTTACGATTTATGTTTCCGTTGTCGTAAAAATTTCTTTCCACTTTTTCCCGAGACTACAAATATTCGAGTACAAGGTTTCGACTTATTTCTACTTAAGAAGTAGTTAAATAATTAAGAGATTAGGGAATTGGGGACATAAATAAAACTCTGCTGAAAGAGCCGGAATATTACTTAAACAAAAGCTTAACCGAACCAATCTCTAACCGAGTACAGTGGGGACTGATTTCTTCGTAATATTAGATAATAAAGACAGAAATTTTCCAATTCAATGAGAGTGACTAAAAAGTTGTAAATTTTGAAATTTCCGTGGACACTGGTCCTAAAACGAATTAGTTAGAAAACAAATGACTATTACGTTTAACATATTTAGATTTTTACAGCTATGGTGAGAAACGTTTAAAATTTACAACGACCCTGTCGCGTCCTTTGAGATATACTAGTGATGCGACAAAATAGGCATTTGACATTGACCAGTATCGTCACCCTCGGAATTTGGCAGCCCGCACTGCACACATACCAGGACCGTCTCTAATTCCATCATTGGTCACTGGTAAGGAGCTATTTGACTAAAGTGGATTGTTTTAAGATTTAAAAAGTATAGAATATTTTGTTATTTTTATGTACAGTACGTTTCTTTACAAAGCTATATTTAATTATAATTTTCTTTAGATGTATATTTATACAATTGAATATTTTGTATCAGGTATGTATGTCCACCGCACAGTTTATTTCACCAAGTAAGTTTTTATATTTAATTTTTAATTTTAGCCCTTATATCGTGGCTAGCGATTCAGAATGTAATTGTGATATTAAAAATACATTTAAAGAAGTCTAAGGTTTTTATTGGCTTATCGAACAAACGAATACGAATGGACCTTAGACCAGGGGTGGCCAACAGTTTTGCCCCCGGGCCGAATTGGAAAGAAAACTTTTTTCATGGGCCGAACCAGAGGCTGCCCTAGCAAGATTTTGAAATGGTGCGAGATCTCATTGTGGTGTCACTCCGTAAAGACTAAATTGTACTGTACATGGATATTACAGATACATTTTTTCACATTATCATGCATTATCAACATTCTACGCTGTGCTGAAGACATTTGTAATGGAGCGTTAACTCTAAACGCGCAGTTACTTATTGACCTTTTTTTTTAGGCGTGAGAATTTTTCGTCGAGATATTCGGACTTAAGTAGCTAATATTGGAAAATTAATCGCGGGCCGCATAAATTCATTAGACGGGCCGTATGTTCGTCATGCCTGCCCTAGACCATCACTGACTTGCAATTTAACTGATTTCCCCTGGAAGTCGGCTTCTTCCAGAAATACAGCTTCCCTATCGTCAAATGTCACGGCACGCAACTGATATATATGAAGATTTAAATTACATTTTCATGTGCTTAAAAACTAAAATACATTTACTTCTAGGTTTTTCTGCTTCCAAAGAGAATATTACATTCTCCCCAAAGATTTAAAGATACGGTAGGATTCGTGATAGAACGAAAAAGACAGGATGACGAGATGGACTGCCTCAGGTATTATATGGAAAAAAAATGAAACATAAATGACGGTATTACGTTTAATAATTGAATAATTATTCGTTGTTGTCAGATACTACACGGAGAATTATACAGAAACTTTGTACGAAAAGTGGTTTCACTTGAATAGTTTCTCAAAACAGATAACATCCGTTATAGAGGAATTTATGAAATCCGAACAACGTCGAACTGGAAAACCAATTCCTGGTGATAATTCTCTCTATTTTATATTTTATTAACTCTTACTTTTATTTATAAATATTAAAATAGAAAATAAATTGTACTTATAAAGGCACAATTACCGACAATCCGCCATACATTGAAGACAAACAAAGGATCCTCAATGATCCCTTTTCGTTAAAATCGTGGATAGAAAAGAACAGAGAAGAGATCGAAACAAGAGGGAAAAAAGAAGTGTTTGAAGGAGATTATAAATTCAAGGTAGACTATATTTAATTATATTTTAAAGAATCTTATCACTTACGAATATAAATATTAAGTTCATAAAATACTAATTTATAAATTCGATATACTTACGTAAGAGAAACATTGATATAATTATTAATAGTTTTTGAATAACACAGAAGAAACAAATACAAATGAATGGCGCTTAAAATACCGATGTTAAATATTGAAAATTAAGTAATGTTTCAACTTTAAAACATCGTAAATAATTATAGAACATGACACTTAACATTACAATTTTTTAAAAATGAATAAACAATAAATCATCCACATGTTTGGAATTTATCCTTTTTCTTAGCTTGTAAATTACTAAAACAAACAACACTAGGACTTCCTAGTTTCTTCCTAGGACACATTTGACGCTGGAATTGTAAGAACTTTTTTTGCCAATTTGTAAAAGGTAAATTTAAGGCAATACAATATATTAGAATATCTTTCTCCACCCATGCAGCAAATCAAAATCTTTATCTGCTTGAATTTTAAGGTTTTGATAAATTCTCACGTTAACTCCATTAGTTAGTATTATTCTTCAATTGTTAGTCAATAGTTTAATTAATTAATTACGATTGATTTTTATTATCTCTGGATAGGAATAATTTGAAATTTTGAATTTAGAATAAAGTGTGTTGGTACTCGTACTGTACTGTACATACAGTATTTCACTTATACTCGTATTATGCTTTGAATTCTCAATAAAATAAAATCGCATAAAACTTTTTCTGAACGAAATTCATATACTACAAAATTAGTTTGACAAATATGACTACTTTTATAGAACAGTAGTTGTATGATTGTTACAGTTAAAATTTGTTTTAATACATTTTTTTAATGTTCTGAAATATTTAATATTAGCAATAGAATTTGATATTTCATTTATTAAAGTAATTCTTGACCAGTCGATGGCGATCAACCTTTTGAGCCTTTATAAAGAGTTCCCATATTGGTAACGCACGTCGACCTCGTCAAAAGTTCGTCAAACAAGTGTTTTAAACACTGCCAACTTATAACATACCGAATATAAAATAAATTAAATTACATAGGATAAAATTCATAATAAATAATAGAAAGAAGCACAAGTCTACTTTCGCATTTTGTTTCGCGATCAACTAGTAAATTCCTTACAAATTTCCTATTGGTTAATTTAAAATATAGGGGTGATCAACATTTAGTCTCAGCTGCGCACGTGATTTTACTTCCGCTCAGAAAGCTGATAGCGGGCATCTACATACAAAACATTTACGATGATTCAAATAATTTCTCTATACTACAAATAACTGTAGCGGTGTAATTTGAATTGTACGCTTTAAGAAATATTCACAATTTATTACAAATAACGAAAGTGATGTTATTGTAAAAATATCAAAAAACTATTGGGAATTAAAATTTATAATTGCCGAAAAAACTAAAACCGGATCACTTATGACTTTCGGTTACGCTTTAAATTTCCTATTTACAAATTTAATTTTGCCGTTATTAACGATATGACGGGAAAATTTTAAGCATCGAGTGCGAAATGAGAGCGAGAATTTTGCACTATGGATTCAATTAACGCGTAAAATCAAAACAGACTACTAGTAGATTATTTAGATCTTATGACAATCAAATCACACTTGGTTAATGATAAAACAGTAGATGTAGATCAGTGTTTCTCAACCTCTAACGTATAGTCGCCCCCTTCAATAAAACCGTTACATAGTATCGCCCTTTCACTACAAAGTTCCGATGCCGAGGAACAAGGCTAACGCCAAATTCGTACTGCATTGAATAGACTAGTGACTATAATTATTTGTTTAATTATTGTACGATATAACGAATAAAATATCTAATTATTTTTAATATAATGTTTTACTACATCGCCCAGAAAATTGTTTTTCGCCTCCCCCCAAAATATAAATTGTTGCTAATCGGCCCCTGAACATGGAAAAACGCCCATATGGGGGCGATATCGCCCCCGTTGAGAAACACTGATGTAGATGATATTTATGACGAAGTTCTACAAAGAAGAGGAGAAAATACCAAGATAAATAAATAAATAACATGCTGTAAATTTATTGTTAACATTTATATATATGGCTTTACTTATAATTAAAACAATTTATAAAATTACTGTACGTATTTTCACACATATATAGACTATAATAGAAGGAACACCGACGATGACTAATTAGTTAAAATCGATAGTAAAACCCCTTTTATTATTAGAAGCCATCTTACCAGAATGCTTTACGATTTTACTGTCCTCCGATTGGCTGGAACGTTTTCGGATCCGCAGGGCGATCGAGGGGCTATAAGGACTTCAGCCCTCCCCATTGGCACCAAAAAAAATTTAAAAATTATTCGTTCGTGAGCTTCGAAACGTTGCTAAAATTATTTTTGGTGGCAAATGTATAATTTGTCGGATCATCCTCAATACGATCGTCTTGCGCGTGTTAATAAAAAGTACTATAAGTTACCTATAATTATTCAAATATTTAAAATTTTTAAGTTAGCCCCTTTTGATTCTTCAGGATCCCGAAAACTAAATCGCGCGATTTTACACGATCGTTAAACGACTGCCAAAGCCGAAAACTTGCCATTGAGACGAGAAACCGCATTCCCCTTTATTCCGCTGATTGCTAAATGGGCTTAACACCTAAATAGGGCCATTTTCCCATCGAAAGTCCAGCCGGGTGGCAGTCTCCTCCTTAAGCAAATCGCCCGCATGTTGCGTTGCCGTATTCCATCGCTCCAAAGGATAGAAAAGACTAAAATTTATGTTTTTGCATTGACTGTAGGTGATCGTATATGGCAAAGGAAGTCATTCCGGATGTTATAAAAATGCAGACACGGTTACTTGGCAATTGGTAAAGAAAAAATAGTTATTAATTTTTCTTTGGTTTATTTAAAACGAATAAATAAAGATATGATTATAATGTTTTGTTTCTTCTCGAATGTAGGAAGGAAAGTCGAATGTTTCTATCGACGAAAATGGTTACGTTCTTGAAAATAACTGCGTTATCTTAATTAAAACCGGACAAAGGTTAGTCAAATGATATCTCTTAACTCTCTCGTATAATATATATTATCGTATTAAATTTGATATTTTAATATTACAAACTTTGTTTTCTAGATGGAGAATGCAGATGGAAGGTTCCTCTTTTGCTTTATCTATAACAACTTTTTCAGTTTAGAATTCCTTTGATGATTTTCCGATAAGAAATAAATATTAAAATACCAGAAAATAACTGACGAACAATTTCGAAATGGATTTTTATACGATTTTAAACGTAAATATAAAACGAAATATTGTGTAATTAAAGATTTTTTAAAATATATTTTACAAAATAAATAGATTCTACAATTTATTATTTTTTATATTACAAAAATTATTTAAAATATAGACCTAGTAAAAGTTGAATATTAAAATAATTTTAGGACTTATATCATATAAAATTCATTTTTTAGTTGGATTCAAATCTGCATTAATATGTCCAAAACAGGGTTTTTAATAAGTAAATAAAACATTTTTATTTAGAAAACATAAACATTTAACATATTAAATAATAAAAATGTTTTCGAAACAATGTTAAATTCGTTGATCTCAATGTGGTCGCAAGATATATTCACAATACTATCAGAAGTACTGTATAAGTAAATTGGAAGATGTTACAGGGGCTGTTGATTTAGAATTGTATTATATATTGTACTGTAAGGATTGTTATGAGCTTTAATTGCTTATAACGTACTTTTAAAAATTTTTTTATATTGGTGGTTAGTGATTTTAAGTAAAATTTTATACGGTATTTTTAAAGTTTGAATAGTATAAGTTATAAAATTTGTAAAAAATGCATATGTGCTTTTAAATTTGTAAAGAATTTTAATTAAAAAATTATTAATTTGAATAAATGATGTCACAGTACCGTATGTGTTCTTTATATTGTAACTGACAGATACGAAATGTAAATCGCATTAGAGAACCTCCCCGTGTTTTAAAGTAATCTAATTATTGTATTATAGTAGCAAAATTTCGAATACTTTTCTATAACAATAATTATTATTATTATTGCTATTATTATAATCGCAATCATGTAAAAATAAAAAAAAAAAAAGGTTATATTCTAAATAAATTACCTTATACCTAACGAAAGATAGGTAACCATAAAAAATTAATAATTGTTTATATCTATTTTTTACAGATAACTAAATAATATCTTAACAAAAGAAACTAAGCGTAATTTTTGGTGAAAAATCTTACAGAACTTTAAATCGGATCGCACGAACAAATTCGAATCGAATAGCAAAGAGAAACATTGTCGTAGAATGCGTTTATACTAAATAAGTACGTCTAAATTGAAAAAAAAAGTAGAGGAAAAACAAGCGAGATAAGCGAAGATAATTACGGAAAGAGAAATGAAAGGGTCAAGCAGATAGTTGACCTTTTCATTTCTATTTTTGCAATTATCTTCGCTGCTTCTCGATAGATGCCGCCAGTTATATATATGTAATAAAAAAAATCCTAACGTGTCACTACATACGTTATTGTACGAAGCTTTGTTATAATAGAAAAAAATGCAATTCGTCGTTCGTCGTTCGTTCTTTTAATTTCCATAACTAAATAAATAAATATATATATACAGTCATACCCCGGACTTACGCGATAGGTGGGACCGAGCGATAACCGCGTAAGTCGAATTCGCGTAAGTCGGGGTATAATTATGCATATAAATACATACAAATTATTTTTAATTGGGACCGGAGACTAAAGAAAACAATAATTTAGAAAAAAATGTTTAATAAAATCTTAGATAATACATATGTATAACAAATTAGGCCTATATTATTTTACAATTTTTCACATTTACTTGATTATTACGCCATAATTTTAACATTGTTTCCATCTCAGCGATAATACTGTGACGTTTACGAATGATGCTTGAATTTAAAGATTGAGCATTTTTTACAGCTTCGAGAATTTTTTCTTTACCTTTTATAATTGTTCTGACCGTCGATTCCGGTAGATCAAACTTCTTTGCCAATTCACAAATTTTCATTTTTGTATCGAAGTCTTTAATAATGTTAACTTTACATTCCAAAGATAAAGTTTTTCTTTTCTTGTTTGATGCAGAAGAATCAGTTCTACTTCGTTTGGATGACATAGTAGAGTGTTAAGATTAATCATATTCGTTATTGTAAACCGCGCTTAAGTTAGGCGCCATCTGTTCATTTCTTTTGTATGTCCGACGATCAAAAGACCGCTTGAGATCGAGTCTGTTTATAATTTGAAAGGTAATCTTGTCAGTTGTATATACAAAAGGTAAATTGTTTACAAAATGAGTCTTTGTTTATTATCTGATAAATGTATACTTTTTTCGTCAATTGTTTACGATTGCAGATGCCTTTTGTGTAAAATCCAAGTCGGATGTATGTAAGCTAATAAATGTTCTCGTTAATCTTATCTCGCCTTTTGGTTCGTTCACGGTTACAAGAAATCACCACATAGAGTCTCTCAAGTCTCCGTAAATATAACAAACAGAATAAATTACACAAAATAAATTGTAGCTATGCGTCGATTCCGCGCGACACATCCGAACATGTAAGCCGAACGATAGTGTGGGGAGAGTGAGTAATCAAGGGTTGCATGGCGCTCAAACAAAAGACGAATCGACGAGATTTGAAAATCGCGTAACTCCGGGTTCGCGTAAGTCGGGGTAGCGTAAGTCGGGGTATGACTGTACATATATACTGTATTTGGATGTCGTCTCACGCAAAATACCGATAAGAACTTAATAGTGAAAGTATTATCCAATAGTAACGTTACCAACCATCCATTAAGACTAAACTACAGTAATATCGTTTATTACCACTAATTCCCTTCCCAGAAAATTTTCGTAAGTGATAGGGTCTCGATATATTTGAGGCCTGTTATCATGTAGATACTGATAGAACCGTAAAGACCCTCTTAGTAAATACTCTATAAGACGTACAGTTTTAAAAATATACAGTATTTTCCGTTATTATATATCATTGATTTGAATTTTAGAATTGTATAACTAGCTAAAAAAGTCTATTTTAATGAATTTAAAAATGTAATTATTCGCCAATAAAGTCGGTCAGATGGCGGCGCGGTATCAATTTTCTACTTTTCTCTGATGGATCGAATTCGAACCCGATTTAGATCGTGAATTTTTCACAAGTTGTTCCAATTGAAGTTCGTACTTTATTTCTCGTTCACGATAACTGATCTCGTTGTGGATTGTATGTTCTCAATGCACGTATCGTAAGGAGTTAAGTCCAAACTTCATTTTATGTTTATGGGCTTTGTTTTATTCATATTTATAACTAGCTGTTACCCGCGACTTCGTCTACGCAGATTTTGCAAGCAAACCCCATTTATATTTAGTATTTCAACAACCATAGTAATTCCATAGAAGTAGCTGATTCGATATAACACCTACCGCTGTGAATGATGAGAATTGCTGAGAATCAAACGAACTGTTTTCAATTTGATCAATTTTTTGGAACGTTTACAATCGTTCTATAATCGAATCAATATGCAATAACAAATTCGAATTTAAAACGGTTCGAACATTTGGTTAAAAAATCGAAATATATAAAAATATTTATAACAATGTCTGAAATGTTATCAATTTAATACACCTAAGTACTCAACGAAGACTAAACGTAGTTGAAAACAAAAAATCGCATCTAAAATAGTACAGAAGCCGTTCTTCAGGTTAAGCCTTAATTAATTAATCCGTTCACTCCCCCCGCGGGAAAATTTCGAAAAATCCCTTCTTAGTGTGCGTTTTCATGACGTACCCTAACTGTATACAAAATTTCACCTCTAGGTTCATCGGTTTGCTCTGGGCGATGATGAATCAATCACTCAGTCAGTCAGGACAAATCATTTTATATATTTAGATTTGATTTGGGGACTTTTTTATTTTGTTGAAGGACGAAGGCTTCCACATTCCCCCGTTTCTAAATTCTAAACTTTTAAAAAAAGATTACTGGAGTGATTGTCACCCGAATTTTTTTTTTTTTAAGGGACCACGAATTTTCTTAAAGACCAAAGGCGGATGCATTTGTTATAAGTTAATATATCAATATAAGATTGAATTCATGTCTGTGTATCGCCCAAGAACGGCTGAACCGATTTCTACAAAACTATGTATATATGTTCAGGATAGTATATATCATACAGCTGAAATTATATATTTTAAATCTAACTATCGTTCAATATACAGTATCCGTGGAATAGAAACTTAATTTAGAATTAAAAATTGAAATTTAATGCCTATCAAAAGTTGCTTAGATTCTGAACTACATGAAATACATTCACGCTCCCAACACCAACTACAAAGATGAATTAAAAAATTCCTGTGTACCGCATTTAAGACAGTAAATGCAGTATAATCGATTATTTCTGGCTAAGTTTTATTGGCTAACTATTCATTAAATTGTTACAAAATTTCGGAAAATTTGGCATCCCGATATTTCTGGACTATCGGATCCGAAAACAAAAAGCACGTTGCACATCTGCAGATTCAACCTTTTCTATCAACGCGTAATTCGTTCAATTCTCCAAGAAATCTAGTACAGTAAGACTCCACTTAACGCTGTCTCGATTAACGTTGCCTCGATTAACGCTGATTCAATATAACGCGGTCTGCTCGAAGCCTTAAAAAAAGCTCAAAATTTACGCCGATTCAAATTATCGCGGCATTTTATTGATTCATATATAATACGATTATAATTCCCAAACACGAACCAATTAATAATACGATTATAATAATATATAACTCCCAAAAACGAACCAATCAGCAAAAGGTGGCAATTCGTCGTAGCACTGTACTTTCCTTAAATCTATGTTTATTTGGTGCGATTTTGGAAAAAAAATATAACATCACGAATGCCATAGGCAAAATCGACTTCGTCTGGCAAGAATTAACTGATAACTGCATAAACGAAGTGTGAAAGAAGTTATGGCTGAAGGTAACCAAGAATTCTCCACGAGAAGAGCCTATCGCTGTATCGTTAGGTTGACAATTTCGTCAACCTAATCGATACAGCATGACTAGGAGATGTAGACGAGCAGGATACTGAGGAGTTACTGCAGGTTTCTGTTGAGAGTTCTACCAACAACGACCTTCAAGAACTGGCAGAATAAGGAATTCATGTAGAACTGAAAAATAGTGATTCTGAAAACGAAGGACACAAAGAATTTTTCTACAGATTTCCTTAATAAAAGTTTGGTAACGATAACCGAAATCGTTGATCAAATTGTAGCGAACGATCCAGATTTTGAAAGGAGTGCAAAAGCAAACCGAGGCGTTTTGGATGCAATTTTCTGCTACCAACATTTGCTTAAGGAATGAAAAAAAGCAAAACTACAAATGAAACTACACGACTTCATCGCAAAAAAGGAAGAATTTCAGAAGAGCCAGGACCTTCATCACAAAAAATGAACTTTACATTTCTGTGTGCATACGTTTGTGTTATTTAACATATATTATTATGTAAATTAATTTAAAAATAACTTACAGGTTAAAGTAAAATCTGTTTATTTCTGGTCGCGTGTTTCCTTTCCCTATTTACTCTGTCTTAAAATGGCCTCGTTTAACACTGTTTCGTTTAGCGCTTTGTCGTCTAGGAACGTATCCCCCGCATTAAGCAGGATCTTATGTATATACATTACAGTAGAGGAGAAAGTGGTATTATAGAACCCCAGGTATTACGGAACCCCTCCATTTCAGACTGATATTAAATGAGAACTCTAGCAAATTGTGGCTGAACTGCACTAGGCAGACATCCATAGCAAGGGGAGGACGCCTCC